AGCACTCCCACTAATCCGCCAAGTTGTGAAGGGGTAAATCTCGTTAGACCAGACTCTGCCATAGCGATGAATATATGATAGAAAGAGGTGGAGTTGTCTCTATAGAAGGGGGACACTAGTTACATTCATGGCCTCCGATACCATAAGATGTGATACCACTGACAAACGCTGGTCCTTCTTGCGTACCCATACCATTAGAGGGTGGTCTTCGTTGTTGTTACCCGTTGGGCACCGCACCAGCATGCACAGGCGACCACCAAAGGACCGTCGATCGCCACTTGATAGATTTTTATCATTGGAGGGTAGTCATCCCGTCCGATTGTAGGGTTGCAACCGTTATCGGCCTCACGCTAATCATACCAAGTTGTGCTGACTCTTTGTCCGTTTTCGGGAGCCAGTGAGATGGATATGTAGTAAATCTGTCCCTTTGTCCATTGTTGAGAGCTGTGTAAATATAATAGGATCAGCCCGTTGTCCATTAATGGGAACTGATAAAGATATGTAGGAGTGGATGCTTGACCCATTGTCCATCGTCAGGAGCTATATAGATTAGCTCGTTGTCCTTTGATAGAAGCCGTGTAGCAAGATAGGCTCTTTATTCATTGCAAGGAGCCATGAGATACAACAGAGAACATCGCTGTAGAGGACATGGCTATCAAGAAACGCCCAGCCATGTTACCGAAATAGATCTAGCCATGTCTAGGCATGCGTGTGAGGATAGATGCTGGAGTGAGCCACATTCCGCGATGTTTCCAGTTGAAGCGAATAAGTGGCTTTTCTGGGGATGCTGATTCCACAGTAACAATCAATAGAAAGTTGGAGTCACACGTCGGATGTGAAAAGATAAGTGTTGTGGGCCTTTCATAATGTAGATCCACACATGTCATCAGCCATGCAAATTCATCCCTCAACAAACATAAATCTTTTATTAAAAATAATAAATAACTAATAAATTAACTAATATTTTTTAATAAATTTTAAATTAAAATTAAATTATAAATTAATATTTTTAAATATCATAATTAATTATTTTAAAAAATTATAACCCAATAAGATATCACTCAAAA